AGGTGTGCTGTTTCGAAGGGACACATGCACCCCCATGTTTATAGCAGCACTATCAACAATAGCCAAAGCAAGGAAAAAGCCCAAATGTCCATGGATGGATGAATGGATAAAGACGTGGTATATATATACAATGAAGCATTTTACTCAGCAATCAGAAAGAATGAAATCTTGCCATTTGCAACCACGTGGATGGAACTGGAGGGTATAATGCTAAGTGAAATTAGTCAGAGAAAGACAAAAATCCTATGACTTCACTCATATAGAGGACTTTAAGAGACAAAACAGATGAACACAAGGGAAGGGAAACAAAAATAATATAAAAACAGGGCGGGGACAAAACAGAAGAGATTCATACATATGGAGAACAAACTGAGGGTTACGGGAAGGGTTGTGGGAGGGGGGATGGGCTAAATGGGTAAGGGACACTAAGGAATCTACTTCTGAAATCATTGTTGCACTATATGCTAACTAATTTGGATGTAAATTAAAAAAAAATAAAAAAATAAAATTAAAAAAAATAATCTTCCATCTTTAGATTATTTCTATTATCATTTGAATAAGATTACCATAAAACATCAATTCTTATGTAATTAGTTCTCCTGGCTTTAAAATAATAAATTCCTCATTTAGCTAAAATTGTAATACTTCTAGCCTTTACATCACTTTAATTCTCCAGAAACTTTACTTTTTGGAACTTCTCAGAAAATTAGCTTTGGATGAAACTCAATCCCTAACTGTACTCCATAATCAATAACCTGGAAGGGCTTTATCAGGGGGATGGGTGGAGTGTATTTATTTAGTTACACCCACTTAGTTTCTAATTAGTAACTAACAAGATTAATACGAGAAGCTTCCCATATATTCTTAAAATGGAGTTAACAGTGTCAATGCTTTAGTTGAAGAACCAAAATGTATGAATGTATGTGTATATATGCACATATATGTGTACATAGATATGTAATATGTATAATATATAAAAATAAATAATATGAAAAAATATATTTATTAGTACATCACTAGCCCCTTAAATTAAAATTTTTTTTTTTAATTTTTTTTTCAACGTTTTTATTTATTTTTGGGACAGAGAGAGACAGAGCACGAACGGGGGAGGGGCAGAGAGAGAGGGAGAGACAGAATCGGAAACAGGCTCCGAGCCATCAGCCCAGAGCCTGACGCGGGGCTCCAACTCAAGGACCGCGAGATCGTGACCTGGCTGAAGTCAGACGCTTAACCGACTGCGCCACCCAGGCGCCCCAAATTTAAAATTTTTTAAATGTTTATTCATTTTTGAGAGAGAGCGAGAGAGCGCGTGCACGTGTGCGCACACAAGCGGGGGAGGGGCAGAGAGAGAGGGAGACACAGAATCCAAAGCAGGCTCCAGGCTCTGAGGTGTCAGCACAGAACCTGACACGGGGCTCAAACTCATGAACTGTTAGATTATGACCTGAGCTGAACTCACACGCTCCACCAACTGAGCCACCCAGGCACCCCATTAGCCACTTAAACTTTAGAAAAGGGAACTCAGTCACCAGTGGTGGGGAATGTAAGCTGACAATTGGTTTCTGGAGGGCATTTTAACAATTTGTAGAAAAGTCTTGAGGTGTTTTCCTTTTACTTAAGAATTTTTCCACTCCTGATGACTTACTCCGGAAAAGTCATCGTTAATATACATAAAAATGTAGTCAATGATATTTTCAGCAACATGGTTTAAAATAGTGGGAATAATCTAAATATATACATAGAGAGAGAAAGGACTCATTAACTATATTATGCTACATCCAAATGGTAGAATCCTGTATCTATTAAAAAGAGGGTAGGGGCGCCTGGGTGACTCAGTCGGTAGAGTGTCTGACTTCGGCTCAGGTCATGATCTCACAGTTCATGCGTTCAAGCCTCACGTCAGGCTCTGTGCTGACAGCTCAGAGCCTGGAGCCTGCTTCAGATTCTGTGGCTCCTTCTTTCTCTCTGCCCCTTCCCTGCTCAGTCTGTGTCTCTTTCTCTCAAAAATAAATAAAAACATTAAAAAAAAAAAAAAGGAGGGTAGAATATGTACTACCTTCATAGAATATTGATAAAGACATACAAATACACAATTATTAACCATTAATAATTACCAAATGTTTGTAGAATTCCAAAAGAAAAACATAGAATTACCCATAACTTTATCACCTAAGTATTATTTTCATTTCTCAGTATTTTCTTACAAAATATGTATTAAATACATATTACAAGATATGTATGTCTTTTGCATACATATTTTACATAGTCATCACAGTACACCATAGTCATACTAAAGTACATAAACTTTAGTTTCTGATTTTCTAACTAAAAAGTTTAAAAACATTGGCCTTGATACTAAATGTAAATAAAGTTATTTTTAAGGGCTGAACCTTTTTCTATCAAGTTGATATATCCAAATTCAAGTATTTCACTTAATGATGAACATTTGGGACTCTAAGGTTTTCCATTTTTCCTTTTAATAAAGTACACAAAAGGCTTCAGTCTTTCAATTATTCCCTTGGATAATTTACTTTGTAAATAGTCAACAACATAATACTGAATTGACAATTAATCTTGTAAAAATATCCTCCAGTTTATAGGCACTCCCCCATTGCCAATTCAAGAGCTGACTCCTGCCTCAACTAATACCTAATTATAATCCCAGTAAATAGAAGGTACACAATAAATACTTGATGAGAGACCGAAAGTAAAAGATTACTTAGATTAATTACATAATGCCAGGAACCATCATCAGTAAGTTCAGGAGGTTTCCTCATAGTCTCACCAGTGTAGGACTTGATAAGAGAAAAAAACTCTTCATTTTTCTTAATTTTTTAGAAACAAATTAGTACCTTAATTCATCCACATTTAATTTCTAGTAAGGCTTAAATTTTTCCCATAATGGCTTACTCTCTAAAGACCCTCTTATATTTACTCTTATTATTTCTACTGTAATTCTACAAAGTATTATTAACTGCAAATTTTCTTCCCATTCTGCTATTGTCCTTCATTTCTATATGTCACTTAAATTTTTCTCATTATTTTTCTGTTGTTTCAGTCAACAGAAAATTGCTATTGTATAATTAGGATAACTATTCTATTTTCTACTGCTTTTTTTGGCTTTCATTTTTTTTTTTTTTTTAATTTTTTTTTTCAACGTTTATTTATTTTTGGGACAGAGAGAGACAGAGCATGAACGGGGGAGGGGCATAGAGAGAGGGAGACACAGAATCGGAAACAGGCTCCAGGCTCTGAGCCATCAGCCCAGAGCCTGACGCGGGGCTCGAACTCACGGACTGCGAGATCGTGACCTGGCTGAAGTCGGACGCTGAACCGACTGCGCCACCCAGGCGCCCCTTTGGCTTTCATTTTAAAGATTACTCCTCATCAACTTGATAGTATTATATATGGTTTTCACGTGTATTTAAGTTAATTTTTCTCCATAGTGCTTTCTAATAAACCAGAAACAGTTTCTAAAGCATATTTCCTGTGACTATTGTTTTAGAGTACTTATTTTAACACACCAAAATGTTATAGAAAAAAAAGTCTCAAAAATTTACTTATTTCCCTAAGAATTCTATGTTAGCAATCTAAAATAAGAGAATGTACAAGTTTGCTTATAGTATCTGCAACTTTCAAATGGTTTGGCAAATAATATATGTGAATATTATGTGAATCATATGTGAATAATATGAATAATATATGAATTCACTGTGCAACTCTCAAATGTTTTATAGGTTAGGTTTCATTCAAAATTAAAAAATGAGAGAAAGAATATTGCAAATTTACAGGTAAACATGAGAATTTTTTCCCCTGAATTTTAGCTCTTCTTGTGAAACACATACTTATTTGGTAAATATCAATATAGAAGAATAAGCAACAACTTAAATATGCCCTCCCTTTACTTCAGTATAAAAGATACTTTGGGAAAAGACCTACCTGGCTGAGCTTTTCCATATGTGCTACCAAAAGGGGGAACCGGTGAACTAGTGTTGAGTCATTCTCTGTGCTAACTTGTTTAACAATTGATCGTAATAGTACTTCTCCATCATATGCAATAGGGAAGATGGAAGTCAGCTTAACAGAAGTGTGGCACAGAGCTGACATAACAGCTGCAAGCAATCGGCTACTTGAAGTCTTGAAGTTTGCTTCCTGGATATCCTTTAAAAAAAAAAGAAAGATGAGCCCATCAAAGAAATATGGCATCAGTTTAATCCAAATGTTTGGATACACAAAAGTTAAACAATTTTTAAATCATACCAAAGTTTTCTAGCACTCATTTTAATTGTCTTGATATAGAATTTAATTACATCAATACTTTTAAACACAACTGTTTAAGTTACTATCCAATGAAGATGTAAAATTATTAAATATGGTCAAATATCAGCCTCCTATTCTCCATTCAATGAGTTTATATATCCTCAGAATCTTAGTCCTCTCTAGCACTATGCTCAAAGAATTACATCAAAAAGGCCCCAATCAGTATATATCTAAGACATGTCCAGTAACAAGCACTGAAACAATTTTCCTCAAATAATTACTGATTTAAATTATAATTCTGTGCAACTATAACATTTCACTAATGGTAATGTAGCATAATGAATTACTATAATAAACATTTCACTAAGGTTACAAAATATGTCATCACATTATATATCTGTTCAGAAAATTAACAGCATACTTGTAAAATTTTGTAACAAAATATTAAAAACTTATCAAGACATGATATCCTAATTCACAAAAACTGTGTATACGTTACTTAGTTCATCAAACATCTGTACTACAAATTCAGGTTAACAGCAATATCCTATATGTTAAACCAACATTTGTTAATGCTAGTCTGTTCTGTAGCCAGTTCAGTAGTAAAGAAAACCATATGAGACTGGACAGGTTGAGAGAGTAAGTTGTGCACCAGTCCAGGCAATAACCTTATCTCAGGAAACTGAGTGGTAAAATACACTACTCTGCTATAGGTCATCAATGAACCTGGAGAACACTATGAGTGAAATAAGCCAGTTACAGCAAGCCAAAATACTGCATGATTCCACTTATATGCAGTGTCTGCTCACAGAAGCAGAGAAGAGTATGGATAGGATGAGGGGGAAATGGGGAGCTGGTATTCAACAGGTATAAAGTTTCAGTTATGAAAGATGAGTAAGCACTAGTGATGTGTTATACAACATTGCATCTGCAGTTAACAATATCATACTGTATGCTCAAAATCTAAGAGGGAGATCTCATATTAAGTGTTTTTACCACAAAGAAATACATTTTTAATGACAAGAATAATAAATTCAGTATGTAAACAGCTAAAAAAACAGTAATAATAAAATAAAAACAAAGTTGCCTACCCCGATGTCATCCCTAGAATATCTTTCAAATAGGCTAGGATGCCCTGGTGATGACAGTGAACTTTCTTAGGGGAGGAGAAGGTGCTAGAATTTCCTCTACAATGCTGAATAGAAGTGGTGACAACAGTCACCTTGTGCCTTACTCCCAAGCTTAGAGGAGTATTCAGTATTTCACCATTAAGTTTGATATTAACTATGCATTTTTCTCTAGAGATCCTTTATAATCATAGCTTGAGGAAGTTTCCTTAAATCCTAGTTTGCATGGAAGTTTTCACCATTGAATAAGTGCCAATTTTGTCACATTTTCTGAATCTATTGAGACGATTATACAATTTCCCCAGTTTATTCAGTTAATATGGTGAATTACATTGAACTTTGAAAGTTTAACCTTGCATTTCCAAGAAAAACCCTACTTGGTGTGATATATTTTTTATATTGCTGGATTTGATTTGATAATATTGTTAAGAGTTTTTGCATCTATGTTTCTGAGTAAAATTTGTACTAATATGTTCTTTTAATATCTTTGTCAGGTTTTGGTATCAGTGTAAGGCTAACTTGACAAAATCAGTTGGGAAATGTTGTCTCCTATGTCTTCTGAAAGAATTTGTAAAAGATTGATATTGTTTCAGGTTTGATAGAATTCACCAATAACAATATCTGGGTCTGGAGTTTTCTTTGTGGGAAAGTTTTTGATAATGAATTCAATGTTTTAATGAACAGAAGGCAATTCAGATTTTTATATTTCTTATTGTGCTAGTTTTGATTAAGCTATATTTTTCAAGAAATTTGTCTACTTTACCTAAAATTATAAGTTATTAGTATAAAGCTGTTCAAAATATTCTTTTATCATTTTAATGTCTGTTTGGATCTATATTGATATTCGCTATTTCATTTTTGATAATGGCACTTTGTGTTTTTTCTTCATCTCTGGTCTCTCAATCAGACTTGTTATGAGTGTATTAGTTTGGTTTTAATTTTGAAGAACCAACTTTTGGTCAATTTTCTCTGTTTTTACTTTACTGATTTCTGCTCTTATCTTTATTATTTCCTCCCAATATCTTTATTACTTTCTTCTTATTTTGGTTTGCTAATTCTTTCTGACTTCTTTAGGAAGAAACTTAGATCACTGATTTTAAACCTTTCTTCTTTGCTAGTATTATCATTTAAAGGTATACATTTCTTGGGGCACCTGGGTGGCTCAGTTGGCTAAGTCCAACTCTTGGTCTCAGCTCAGGTCATGATCTCACAATTTGTGGGATCAAGCCCCAAGTCGGGCTCCGTGCTGAGAGTGCAGTGCCTGCTTGGGATTCTCTCTCTCCCTCTCTCAAGATAAATAAATAAATATTTTAAAAAGTATAAATTTCCTTTAGCTACATCTCACAATTTCTGACGTTATACTTTTATCTTTCAGTGCAAAATATTTTCAAGTTTCCTTTGGATTTCTTTGATTCACTGGTTACTTAGAATTATTGTCTATTTTCCATATATTTAGTGCTTTTCTCAATATATTTTGCTATTTATTTTAACTTTAGTCCTATTATGGTCTGAAAACTTTTAATTTTAATCTTTTGAAATTACTAAAGCTTATTTTATGGCTTAGCATATGATCTATCTTTGTGAGCAAGATATGTATACTTGAAAATAACATGTATTGTGCACTTGACATTCTGTTTTATAAATGTCAGTAAAGCCAATGTGGTTGATAATGTTGTCCAGATCTTCTATTTCCTTACTGATTTTTCGGTTTAGTTGTTCTATTAATTGCTAACAGAGGAGTGTCGAAGTCTCCAACTATCACTGTGAATTTGTCTATTTCTCCCTTTAGTTCTGCCATTTTTTTGCCTCAAGCATTTTGAAACTGTGATTTGGGGCATACACATTTATGAGGCTTGTGGTTTCCTCATGAATGAATGATGTTAGCAAGCAAGTTCACTCACAGCTCTTTCTCCTGGCCATTCCGCACATAAGGAGGTTGCAGGAGCTGCCCTTCTAGTGCTGTCCTTGCTCTTACACACTTGCTCACAACTATTCTTGCTCTTACGCACACATGCTTACTCAGATTCAAAAAGCAAATCAGCAACTGCACAATGTGCCTGTCAAGTTTACAAGTAAAAATGATAAAGCAAACAGAAAAAAAAAGTCTTTGAACTTTAAGTCACATATACCAAACCAATGTCCTAATTTACCTTTTATAAAAGTTAGAAAGATTGAGGCAACAGCACTTTAAAGAGTATTAAGTAACATATCATATTTTCAACTAACATTTTACAAACTTAAATTACCTGATCCAGACAATTCAGCAGATCACAAAGGCAAGCCCACTGTAAGGCAGGAGTTGGGTAGAAAGAATGAAAACAGGCAGTAAAGGTATTATGACACTCTTGAAGGACAGCTTCTAGGAGACTCAAAGGTTGACTGAGATATCCTTGAGGATCATTATCCAACTTCACCATGCAGTGGTCAACTCCTTCTGATAAAATTTTTCTTAACAAAGTTCTAGTTTTTCCAATACATTCTGCTAATTTGCTAGTTTCTTCCACAACTGCTTTTCCGGTAGCTTTGAGGGAACAAAGCAGATTGCTAATTAAATAGGATAATAAATATGGATGGAGACATTTAATATAATTCAAGTAATTTCCTATGTAACTAGAGATCACAAGTACTCATAACCTAGAGATGAAACAATTTAGAGATTAAATGCGGTCCAAAATCATTTCTTTTAAAAATCTAAGTAGGAAAAAAAAATGACCCTGAAATATTGGTTTCAGCCTCTAAGTCCAAATGAGTTGTTCAAAAGTTTTCTATTTGACCAAATCTGTTTAAAATAATACTTTATTAGAGTAATTTTTAGCCTGACATGACTTTTTGTTATCAGCATAACATGTAATCTATTTTACTCTTCGTAAGTAAATATATAAAGGTCACAAAAGCTGACTTTCTCCCCTCATTTTTGGAGGTTAAAGGCAGCTGGGGATCTTAAATTCCTGGTTTTCCCATATAGACCTTCTCAATGTCTCAAATATTTTCTCCCTAAAGTCATTTAAAAAGAAGCTTCATACCTGATACTGGGTAAATTTCACACGTATAGACACGCAATAACCTCAGACAACAGGTACCCACAAAGCGCAGTCTCTCTAAATCTAGAAGTGTCGCTGTGAACTGGAATCCTTTTAATCCTCTAAGTTCTTCAACTCCTAAGACTAAGGTGGTCCAACTCCAGTGAAGAATGCTCAATAATGACTCAAAACATTCCTAATCCAGAATATGAAAAAACAGGTAACAGTTAGTTCAAATGATCCATAGGTTGAATCAAATGGAAAGATGGCATCAACTTCAAAACTTTATTTGAACTCTTTTACTGTGTTTTGATTAGTGCAAATAATAGACATTCTATTAGTTCATTTACCACATTACCATTAGAAGTACCTTTGAAGCTTGGCAAAAAAGGTACAGTAGTTAGGCATCTATAAAAACAACATTCTTCAATATTTGCCTATTTAAAAATACATTAAATTGTTTTTTAATGTTTATTTATTTTTGAGAGAGAGAGACAAGAGTGTGAGTGGGGGAAGGGCAGAGAGAGAGGGAGACACAGAATCCAAAGCAGGCTCCAGGCTCTGAGCTGTCAGTGCAGAGCCCAATGTGGAGCTTGAACTCACAAACCATGAGGTCACGACTAAAGTCAGACACTTAACTGAGTCACCCAGGCACCACTAAAAATACATTTTTAAGTTTCCCTGCTCTCAACCTATCTAGCTTATCATATAAGTAAGGAAAAAAATAAAAAATATTTACAAATCTATGTTTACTTGAAAGCAAAATTAAACTCTACGCTGTTGCTGTAGTATTGCATTTCTAGTTCTGCAGTACTTAGTGTATCCTATGAAAATTTTAAAAAGATGCAAAATTTTATCATTACAAACAAGAAGGTTGCATAGCATACTGTATGAAAGACTAATAAGTTTGTGTATATATAAAAAATGGTCTGAAAGGATATACATCAAAATGTAAACAGTAGTTATATGGGGTAATAACAGAGTGACAGGGAAAGAACTTTAGGGTACTTTTAATATAGTTTTATCCCTACTCTACCCTATTCCAAACCAGGGATGTATACTAATCTTGTGATTTTAAAAAACTAATACAAAAAGGAAAAAAAAAAAACATTCTCCCTATGCATTTTACCAACATGAAAGACTACTGACTACATTAATGAATCACATTCATATAGTGCCTTACAATTAAAAAAGCATTTTTGTATCCCTTATGTCAACAGAAATTCATACTGATGCTATCAGTTTATTTAAATAACTTGCATAAGAATGCTCAACTAGTACAGGACAAGAACTTAACTCAGACTTCCCATGATCTCTCAATTACATCATGTTGGCTTTCCATTTTACACTAGTAACCCCAGTAATGTAGCATAGTTTTGAATGTAGAATGCAGATGGTCAAGTAGTTCAACAGAGCCCTGAGTTAAATATACAACTCTTCTACTTAGCTCCTCAAGCATTAGATTAGCACTTTTTAGTCAATTATCAGCCTTAACTTTTCCTTCACTTTCTCCTTCAGCACATGTATTCATACAAGATTTACTAGAAAACCCACCAGTTATTTCAGTTCATGTTTAAGTTCATGTTAAAGTCAGCCAACATCTCTATTTTCCCATTATTTAAAGTACATATTATTTATTCTTTGCCCTGGGATGTCAGTGCTAATCTAAAAACAAATCTGAGTTCATAAAACTATGTTGAGATAAACTCTCAGAAGGGTGGCTAACCGCCAAACATCAAAATGAAATGGAGCACTGGACAAAGAACCTGAAATTTTTAAAAAAATGGCTTACCACTGAGACAGTTCTTGCAAAAGATCTCTTTAAAATATGTACAGGTTCGCTGGTTTGCTGTTTGCCTTTTGAGGCACTACCATCACTGGTTGGAAGTCTGAAAGTAGCAGATACACATAAATTTATGTTAGAAGGTCCAATGACACTTTTCAAAATATACATTTTTGAAATAGCAAAATATGCTATTAAATATTAAGTGCTATATAATTAAAACATCATTTAATCAGTGTACCCAGAAGTAGTCCAAGCAACTTGCTATGTTCATAATGCTATATATTACAAATAATAACTGTAATAAATTGCACAAAAACAAACAAAAATCCCTTCCTGGGAAAAGTGAGGTTTAAACCACCTCAATTTTTAAAAGTGATTATTAGGAAAGGAAGACATAAGAGACAGTTACTGCTCTAGAGGTGTTTCTTTAGATTTTTTACTACTCAAGGAATGACATTTTTTTCTAGCGAGGGTTACCTATTTGAATTCTTCATTCTAAAAATTGAGTAATTATTGAGTAAATTATTGAGTTTAGAAACAGGTAGACAGACACATAGGCATATGCTTCCATAAATGTCTCAAATACCATAAAGTAATTAAAATTCTTAAATAATGTTACAAATATAATAAGTACTATCACATGGACAAGTTACTGTTTCATAGTTCAAAAGTGGAAACTTTTAGCAGTAAGGGATTTTCTAATTCATTCCATCACAAGACAAACAGGAAACACAAAACAGCAGCAAATCAATCAGGCCTGCATCTGAAATCCCTATCGAACACCCCAATATCATTTCTCTAAGACAAATTTTTATTACTTTATAATATTCTGAAATAGCTATGAAAATCTACAGATTAAAATACTGTTAATGGCATAATACAGATAGTCTGAGTCATGAGGTGAAGTTTCAAATCATGCTCAAAGTAGAAAATGTTTAAAAATATACAAAATATTAAATTAAGTGTTTTTGTTAAAAGTAGCTATATTTCTTCTGGTATGTTATAGTTTGCTGAGTGCTTCAAGTGATTTCTCTCATTATGTCATATATTTTATAGTATCCTAGCTCATTATAACAGAGGAACAAACCATATTAATTCACTGTAAATATGCTAAATACCTGTATAATAATTGAGGTATCTGACCAGCATTAACATCTGTACCATTGTTTGATTTCTTTGAACTCTTAAATTGGAAAACAACCCTAAGAAGAGAAAAAATAACAATGACAACAAAAAACAACATGATTCGAGATTCATGAAAGAAAATAAGAAATCTGACAATTGCCTTTTCAAATATATGTTAATGCACAGAGATCCATTCTTTAAGAAAAAAACCTACAAGTAAAAAGGAATTGTTTTTATTCTGGTTCAAGCTCTGAGTGGCTTAAGGAATAAAATGAAGGAAATGAACCTGATCAGGCAGCCATGGGTAAGCGGCAGGTCCCTCCAGCTCAACTTTAACCAGAACAATAAGCTAGTAACAAAATACTTCAACTTACAGTTTAAAATGTGCTCAACCACACACATGATACCTTCTATTTAAAGCAGCTTTAAACTGCTGTGGTACTCCAAAGTTCAATGAACTGCATGTGGAATCATGAGGTCCAGGACCAAGGCAGTCTCCCTGGTGCTAACACGTAATCTTACAGTAAGTAGAAAGGGATACATTACAGCTGACTTGATTCTTCTATGGCATTCTACTTGAACATTCAGGAACAAAGATTTCACCTCTTACATTAGTCTGTTCTGTTTCTGGTCAGCTCTGTTATGAATAGAACATAACTATTTGAAATATACTGTTACATAACTTTCACTCATGCTCAAGAAGAGTAAGAGTAAACTGAATTTCTCTTCTAAGTAATGGTCCTTCCAAACACACAAAGTCAGAGTACTGAGAATAAAGAAGGATGGAGTTAGACTCAAGAGATTCCAGGTCTAGATTTGGTTCTGCCATAGGCAGCGATATGATGTGAAGCAAATCACTTCACTTTCTGTCTCTCTATTCCCCTGAGAGGAAAACAGGGCTAATAATGGCTTCACGTAATTGTTGAGGCCATCAAATGAAAATATAGATATGAAAGTATTTTATAAACTGAAAAATGCTCTATATATGAAATTTAAGCAGTAAATTTCCCTACATTTTATTAAAACTGTACCATCTCATATTGCCAAAGCTCTGCAATTTTTTTTTTTTTAACATTTTATTTATTTTTGAGACAGTGAGAGACAGAGCATGAACAGGGGAGGGTCAGAGAGAGGGAGACACAGAATCCAAAACAGGCTCCAGGCTCTGAGCTGTCAGCACAGAGCCCGACGCGGGGCTCGAACTCACAGACCGCGAGATCATGACCTGAGCCGAAGTCGGCCGCTTAACCGACTGAGCCACCCAGGCGCCCCAAAGCTCTGCAATTTATAAACTGCTTTCATAAGAACTATCAAACTGCACAGCAAGTATTTATTCCTTTTTTTATGGTTTCCAAATTCCTCATTTACCTTGTCACTTTATATAATTTCTAACTGGTAATAAGTTCTTAAACAATATAACACCCAGAAATACATACAAATGACAAATGGCAAGAGCAAAGAATAGCAGTCCTATTGTCTCCCTGTTCTGTCTAGACCTTAAATTTGGCATGAGATCACATAAACTTAAATGTTTGGCAGTCATATTATATTCTAGTCTTACTAACATTTTTACGTTACTGAAAGACCTCTGAGCTTTTAAAACAATATTCCACTAACAAAAATGAGAGCTGTTTAAGTAATACTTAAACATTCTGCTTACCCGTCATCTGTGGTAATAGAAGCTTGTCCATGAGATCCACAGTCACTGCTGGGTCCAGAAACTCGAGCCCATGCTACATACCACCATCCAGCTTGCAAGAGAACTGGCTCATCAAACATCATTGCATACTTTTCTCTGAGAGAAAAATTAGTGAGTCAAAGACAATGCTTTGCCCTGCTACATGCATGTGTTTATTGGTTTTATTTATTATTAAAAAAATTTTTTTAATGTTTATTTATTTTTAAGAGGCAGAGAGAGACAGAATGTGAATGGGGAAGGGGCAGAGAGAGAGGGAGACACAGAATCCGAAGCAGGCTCCAGGCTCCAAGCTGTCGGTACAGAGCCCGACGTGGGGCTTGAACTCATCAGCTGTAAGATCGTGACCTGAGCCAGTCAGACGCTCAACTGACTGAGCCACTCAGGCACCCTGCATTTATTGGTTTTAAATCCTTTATAAACAAAGCATGAAATACATTGTATATAATTCTTATTAAACATCATTAAAAACCTTCTATTTAAAAAAGTCTGGGGGCACCAGGGTGGCTCACTTGGTTAACCATTCAACTCTGCATTTCAGTTCAGGTCATGATCTCACTGTTTGTGAGTCTGAGCCCTGCATCAGGTTCTGCACTGACATGTTGAGCCTGCTTGGAATTCATTCTCTCTCTCTCTCTCTCTCTCTGCCCTTCCCCCACCCTCTCTCAAAGTAAATAAATAGAGGCACCTGGGTGGCTCAATCGGTTAAGCATCTGACTTCGGCTCAGGTCATGATCTCACAGCTCGTGGGTTTGAGCCCCGTGTTGAGCTCAGTGCTGACAGCTCAGAGCCTGGAGCCTGCTTCGAATTCTGTGTGTGTGTGTGTGTGTGTGTGTGTGTGTGTGTGTGTGTGTGTGTCTGCGCCTCCCCCACTTGCACTCTCTCTCTCTCTCAAAAATAAATAAACATTAAAAATAAATAAACTTAAAAATAAAAGTCTAAAAAAAAAAAAGAGTGCATACATGCACTCCAATGTTCATGGTAGAACTACCGACAATAGCCAAAGTATGGAAAGAGTCCAAATGTCCATCAACTGACAAACAGATAAAGAGGATTATTAGTCATTGATCAAAAAGAATGAAATCTTGCCATTTGCAACAGCATGGATGGAACTAGACTGTATTATGCATGCTAAGAGAAGTAGTCAGAGAAAGACAAAATCATATGATTTCACTCATATGTGGAATTTAAGAAACAAAAGAGATGAACTGAGGGGAAGGGAAGCAAAAATAAGATATTTTTGCTTTATTTTTGAGACAGTGAGAGACAGAGCATGAACAGGGGAGGGTCAGAGAGAGGGAGACACAGAATCCAAAACAGGCTCCAGGCTCTGAGCTGTCAGCACAGAGCCCGACGCGGGGCTCGAACTCACAGACCGCGAGATCATGACCTGAGCCGAAGGTCAGGGAGACACACCCCAAGAGACCCTTAAATACAGAGAAGAAACTGAGGGTTGCTGGAGAGGAGGAGGGTGGGGGAACAGGTTAAATGGGAGATGGGCATTAAGGAGGAACTTGTTGGGATGAACACTGGGTTTTATATGTAAGTGATGAATCACCAAATTCTACTCCTGTAATCATTATTACACTATATGTTAACTAACTTGGATTTAAATGAAAATAATAATAAAAATTTTTTTTAAAAAAGAAGAAAAAATTAAAGGAAGAGGAAAAAAAAGGTGTCTGGCTGGCTCAGTTAAAAAAGCACGCAACTCTTGATCTCAGAGTTGTGACTTTGAGCCCCATGTTGGGTATAGAGATCACTGAAATAAATAAACACACAAATAAACAAAAAAAAAGTCAGAAAAAAATTAAAAAGTCTTGACAAGAACACACAAATAGTAATAGTCATTTGTGTTGTGGTGATGACACCCCTCAACCTTGAATTCTACAACTTGCTTACATGTTATAAAACTTTCATATTAAAATAACACAAAATCTTTTAATTGTTGTTAAAAATAAACAAACAAACCATGCCAGTGTCATTGGAAAATGAAACTCTGAATTTTAGTTTTAAAGTTCATTTATTTAAGTCAAGTTTTTTCAGAGGTAGCATATTAAGAAAATGGTTTTGGAGTCAGATGGCCAGAATTCAAGGCTCAGCTTCACAACACTAGTTGTGTGACCTTGGGCAAATTATTACACCCTCTCTGTGACTCAGTTTCTTCATCTGAAAATAGGGATGAAGATGAGGTCTAGATCACAGGATTGTTCTGAGGACTGAGCAAATTCAAATAAAGTGTTGGAACTGTGCCCGTCACATAGTAACTACACAAAAAATTTTACTAAAATAGAAGGAGAAAGCATGTATATAAATAAGGACATCTGATAAAGATACACACAAGTTTTAGTTCCAGGTAATGGAGTATAGTGGTTGTAGCTGGGAAACTGGGATAGAAAAAAGAATCAAGGGTATTTGAGGAAGGGGACAAATTTACACACTGTAGAGGTATGAAGGTACACAACAGCGCCTGAAAATGACAGGGGGTCCAGTCGGGTTAAAGCATTAAGACAGATAAAAACGATTAGTAGGAAGTAAGTTAAAAAAGATGCTATAAATGATTATGGAAGTCCTTTAATGCTAGCTATAGGAACCTGGGCTTTGTTAGTCGGCAAATAAATACACTCTACATGATTCTCTATTTGTGAAACAATATTATTTTTGACCCATAATTACATGTTCAAAAATAAATGCTAAATGACAATGGCATCTTAAGGCTTTGTTAAAAATTAATCAATTAACTTTTCCTGATCTTCATTTTTTTGTCACATAAAATATGACTGAAAAGTATCTCCTGACATTGGTAAATGCCTGAAGTGAAAAAACAATCAGAATTTTCTTTAAGTTTGCTGTTTTGTTCTCAAAGTACGTATCTGTTAAAAGCAGACTCAATGCCTTACTACCATTTTCAGAAATCACATTTTCACTAGCAAAAAGCTCACGTATGACACACAGGTTTTAACGTAACTATCACTGGGAAGAAGTATACTATTATTATTTTGAAGTTCAATTTATTCTCTTTCACACCATAATATTCCCTGATTCAAATCACTAACTTGTCATAACATAGTGTTGGAGATATTCCGTGGCATTATACAGAGAGGACTGATAAAATCTAAGTCTCTTCTTACTTAGTGAAGCTTTATAAATAAACATCTGGATTCTGGTAACCTCCTAAGAGGTTTCAGTAAAAGCTGGCCACCACCCCAAGCATGTTACAAACAAGCACATACTATGGGCATGGTGTTAGGGCGCACAGGTGATTGGACTTCTGGCCTTCTCTATTTGATACTATATACATGCTCCAGGTAGTAAATAATTGTATCACATCACTGGAAAGCTAGCACAGTAGCTGTTCTCTAAGGGATGCATGAAAGCAAAGGTATATAAAATATATGTATAGTTTCATCCAATCTTCAATGGAGAAATAATTTATAAAATACAAATAGGGAAAATACTGTTAGTTTTAACGCAGCTCTGTTAAATGCAACACTTATACACAATTTAATATCTCAAGCATCTTATCACGGATTATTTAAAACATCCTTTTCATGTTTGTTTCTTCACTTACAATGAATTTTTCATATTAAGTATGTAAGGATGATGCTGAGTAATTGGGAAATCATTACCTGGCAGCACAGTCATAAGCCAATACATCAGTCTCTGCAAGAAGGTCTCCGTCGGTTTCATGATCTCCTCCATCAGGACCCAACTCAAACAGCTGGGGAAAGGAGAAAAAACACATCGTTTCTAGTCTGTCATTCAATCATGCAAACCTGCTGAATAATATGTTTATAATTTTGTGTGTTTCCAAAAATGTGCTGGACACTGCAGAATGTAAAAATCAGAATGCATGCTTTTCTTTTTGAGTTTTACTGATTTATTTTGAGAGAGCGAGAGAGCATGGGGGAGGGGCAGAGAGAGAAGGAGAGAGAAAATCCCAAGCAGGTTCCGTGCTGTCAGCACAGAGCTCAACATGGAGATCGATCCCATGAACTGTGAGATCATTACCTCAGCTGAAATCAAGAGTTGGATGCTTAACCGACTGAGCCACCCAGGTGCCCCAGAATGCCTGCTTTTTTAATGTTGAATACACAAACCTACACATTTAAATTTAGAAACTCATGGCCTATATTAATTTCAGTTTATTTATATATTCATCTATTTATAGTAAATGCTCCAAGTTCTTCTGTACCAAATATAAACATCTGAAGGAGGTGAAAGAATTCATCCAATGCATTGTATCTAAGTGAGCTTCCAAGGAGGAAGAATTTTGCTTCAACACGTACAAGCTGTGAGATATGGGACCTGGTTTCCTCATGCATAAAAGGAAAATGGACACTAACAGTGCCTACTTCATAGTAATTGTGAAAATTACATGAAATAATATTCATGGAGCATTTAGAAAAATATGCAGCAAAAAGGCTAGAAAAATTTTAGCTATGGAGAGAGAGAGGAATACTAGAAGATAAGGATCCTTAAAACAGTTCAAAGTAATATGGCACAGGAATAGGAGAGATGAAGAGAATGAAATAAAATGGGTATAAACAAGGGGAGGAGGACCAGAAAGTCTGAGGAAAGGATAAGAGAGAAGATATCAAAGATGAAAAGTTATGAAATTAAGTGAAAATAAAGGAGAATTATTAGGAAGAGATCTTTTTTCTTCAAAAATGGACCAACACATATAAAAAAAACCCCTCATTTCTCTGGAGAATTATATAGCAGGTAAACTACAAAAACACTAAGGAGGAAGAGAAGGGAGCATTAAAACTTACTGGATAATTACTATGCTAGATGTCTCATTTTATCAGTTATATGCTAATAATTTGAAAATCTGTCTCCAGTTCAGATCTTGTTCTCAACAGCCACTGCATTCCTCTCCTACAGCTGTACCTCATTAGTTCTAAAATGAGTCACTCCCCTTCTCCCCTGCCTTCCCCGTTCTGATTATCACTCACCTACTCACTCAGATAAAAAATCTGGAATAATCCTTTTTCCCGTATCTTTCTGCCATCACTACATCTATTCTATTGCTGGTACCATAGCTTGTCAGTTCACGCATGCTCACTGTTACTAGCTAGAACTCATCAGTCTTATCTCGATTCTCTCCTTGCTCTGGCCCATTTCCACAAGGGTTCCATAAACCACAAGCATTCTGTTTTTTTTTTAATGATCCTTAGTACTCTGTAAAATGAATATTTGATTAGAATATTTCTGTAATCTAAAATTTTTCAGTGGTTTCTCATTCCCTGCTTTGTATGTAGCATAATATAAAGGTCCTTAATGATTTCCCCCTTATGTTCGACAAATATTTCTCAACACATACTGTGTAGTGTCCTAGGAACAGCCAAGGCCACACAGGTGAGAACAATGCAAATAAAAAAATGGGGTAATTGGAAGTTAAATTTGTGGTAAGGGAGAGGACTGTTTAAAAAAATTTTTTTTAACGTTTATTTATTTTTGAGACAGAGAGAGACACAGCATGACCGGGGGAGGGGCAGAGAGAGAGGGAGACACAGAATCGGAAGCAAGCTCCAGGCTCTGAGCCGTCAGCCCAGAGCCTGACGCGGGGCTCGAACTCGCGGACCACGAGATCGTGACCTGAGCTGAAGTCGGGCGTTTAACCGACTGAGCTACCCAGGCGCCCCGGGAGAGGATTGTTTTAAATAGGCTCACCAGAGAATCAAGACCTGAATATAATGAGGAAGTGATCCACGCAGGTACTAAAGAGTTGCAGTCAGCAGAAGTAGCCAGTGTAAAAGTCCTGAGGTTTCACTATGCCTGGCACGTCTGAGGAACAACAGCAGGCCACTGTGGCTGGATTAGAGCGAGACAGCTAGTATAATATAAGGTCAGAGTGATAATGGCAGGCAGTTCTATGGTGCTTTGTGGGCCCTCCTAAGGCCCGTAGCTCTTAATCTAATCCTAGAAGACACTGCAGGAATCCCAACAGAAGGAGTAGCATACTCTGGTGGACATTTTAAGAAAATCTCTGCTGTACTGAGAACAGAATAAAGGGAGCAAGGACAGAAGCAGGATACAAGTTGGGAGGCTACTGTAATAATCTAGGTGAGAATGGCTATAGTTTGGACTGATTTGATATTAGGAACAGTTTTTAGAAGTGGTTAAATCCTGGCTCTATTTTCAAAGTTCAGCCAACAGTGTTTGCTGCCGAAGGGGATGTGGGGTGTGAAAGAGAGAAGGCAAGGATGATTCCAAGATTTCTGGCCCCAGCAGGTAGAGGAATAAAGTTAGCTCTATCCTAAGTCAGTTAATTGGGATGGGGAAAACATCAGAACAACAAGTTTATTAGAGAGATCACCACAAGCCTAGTGTTGAATATGTTATATCCGAAACGCCTATTAGCTATCCAACTGGAGATGTGAAGTAGGAGCTGTATCTATGACTTTGGAGGTTAATAAATTGAAAGTAATCAGAGGAAAAATACTTAAAAAGCCATAAGCCTGGATCATTTTAGGGATGAACAGACTTTAAAAAGTGTCCAAGACTGAGTTCTGGCACTCCAACACTCAGAGGTCAGGAAGATGATGAGTAACCAGGATGGGACTCAGAAGAACAGTCAGTGAGACGGGACAAAAATCAAGTGTGGGGCCTTAGGAGCCAAGTGAAGACAGTATTTTAAAGAAGGGTTTAATTGGATTAAATTATGTCCACTGGTTAAGGAAGATGAGGAGTGAGAATTGACCACTGGCTTTAGCAATCAGAAGCCACTCACATCCTTGACAAGAGCAGTTTTGGTGGAGTGGGTGGGGCAAAAACGTGATTAGAGTGGATTCAAGAAGGAAAGGGAAGAGAAAGAATGGAAACACAAAGCATGTCAGTAAGAATATGTACAGAGTCCAGCTAGGTGGCTAGTCCAAGACAAGTACCTTTGCCCAGAGTATTTAGTGGTGGAAGACTCTTTTAGCAGCAGGAAGGAGGTAAAGGAGGATCCAACAAGAAAGATGTCTAGGTTTCTGACTTAGGGTAACAAGCATATTGTGGATGGTACTATTTAAGAAAGGGACTACTGGAAGAAAGCCAGGTCCTGGGGAAAGAGCATGAATTCAGTTGAGATATAAAGACTAACAACTGTCATGCCTTTAAAGCACTTACATGGAAATGGGTCAAAGAAGTCTGAGCTGGAGATCTAAATTTGGACATCATGGTATGCTGACAGCTATTTAAACTTCAGGCTTAGAAGAGAATGTCTAGGAGAAAATATAAAGTGTAGAAATAGGGCCCTAGGGCTGGGCTTAGAAGAAATCCAACATTTAGTGTCCAGGTAGAAGAGGACAAACCTACAAAAAAGACAGAAGAAACAACCAGAGATATGAAAAGAAAACAAAACAAAACAAAAAAATAAAGAGGCTTACTGCTAGAAAAAAAAATGTATACCTTGGAGAGGTGAGTGGAGGAATAAAAAAAGACTTCCGTTGGAGAACCTTAGTTTACTCACTAATAACTGAATTACAAAGGCAAGTTCACATCCAGTGTACTGGAGGAATAAGGGAGGATTTGAGACTTAGAAAAAAAAATTACATCCACTATAAAGACAGGATTATGGAAGGCCTATATACTTCTGTACCACAACTACTGGAGACAGGGGTCAGTATGGTGTTCAATATCATCAAAACAAAACAAAAAACTTTTCAGGGCCAGAAAAAAAATATCTTCTTGATAAACTTACTAGACAGTGCCAAACTAGCATTATGTAATTCACGGAGTTTGCTTCTCAATCTTAACTTTGAATCAAGACATCTTAAAATAACCCTTTCAAAGAAGTTGCTCTGAAATAAGCCAAAAACTAAAACTACTGTCCTTCCTCCCCTTCTTCCTCTTCCTTCTTCCCCTCCCCTCCCTCTCCCCTTCCTTTGTATATATGTATGAATGTATGTATGTATGTGTGTATCTATCTATTTATCTATGCCATAGGTATCCTTAATCATTACTCCATCCCTATCCCTAGGGACTTCTAATTCTTACTTCCTTAATCTCTATATTACCTGTGTTTCTTTACCACATGTATTACAATCATAGCCAGAAATAAGCAAATGTTTTTAAGTCTGTCAGCTCTGGGTGGGTCTCTATGGGAAGTGTCCTCAAAAACCATCATTTTAAGGGGAGTTTTAACAATATAATTTTTAGATATTAAAACAATTTTTTTTAATGTTTACTCGTTTTTTGAGACAGAGAAAGACAAGAGTATGAGCAGGGGAGGGGCAGAGGGAGACACAGAATCTGAAGCAGGCTCCAGGCTCTGAGCTGTTAGCACAGAGCCTGATGCAGGGCTTGAACTCACGAACTGTGAGATCATGACCTGAGCTGAAGCTGGCTGCTTAACTTAACTGACTGAACTACACAGGCATTCCAATTTTTAGATATTATTGAGAGAACTAAGAATTTATCTCCTGAACAGATGGCATTTAATTGAGAATTTTTAATGAAGCCTGCTATTGAAATTAAGGCAGTAACTATAGTTTTACTTTAAAGGCAAAATCAGATTGGGGCACCTGGGTGGCTCAGTTGGTTAAGCAGCCAATTTAGGTTCAGGTCATGATCTCCCAGTCTGTGAGTTCTAGCCCTGTGTCGGGCTCTGTGCTGACAGCTCACAGCCTGGAGCCTGCTTCAGATTCTGTGTCTCCCTCTCTCTCTGCTCCTTCCCCTGCTCGCACTCTGTCACTCTCTCAAAAAAATAAATAAACATGGGGAAAAAAAAGGCAAAATCAGATTAATTTGAGAAGTAGAACATTCAAGCTGTTAGTGAATTTTCAAAGAATGAGCACATCCTTTGCTTGCAATAATTGCAGGTCTTTTCTGAGATGAACAGATAAAGTAAACTTAGGACTTTTGATTATTTTTATGTTATCTACCTGATGAATTCCATACCCCATATTCCATCTCTCACTTCATTCCTGGTCCCCACTCTTAGGGTGATCATGTCTGTTTACATAGTATTTGGCATCAAAAATGCTAACTTTTTAAAAAGTTTCTTTATTTGAGAGAGTGAGCATACACATGAGTGGGGGGAGGGGCAAAGAGAGGGAGAGAAAGAATCCCAAGCAGTTTCCACGGTCAGTATGGAGCCCATTGCGGGGCTTGATCTCACAAACCAGGAGATCATGACCTGAGCCGACATCAAGAGGTGGATGCTTAACCTATTGAGCCACCCAGACCCCCTAATGACTTTTAAGGCTACATCAAAATGTCCTTGAATCAAAACAGCTGTGCCCTCGTTATTAAAGTGGCTACAAAAATGGAGGCATATCAAAAGGTACTGCTGTTCCTAGACCACTAAGAAGTTCAGCACAAAGGATTGAGATTGACTATTATAGTCTTTTTCAGCCTAAAATTATTATAAAATCATTTTCCATCATTTCCTCACTTCTTGACTTTTGCTTTTCTAATGAGTCAATGATTTAGTATTATTATATTAGATTTTAGCAATGTTTCCTCAAGTCCTTTTTTTATATATATTATATATATAAAATAATAAGCTAAGTCAAAACCAACATCTTCAAAAAAGGGCAACAGTGTCAAAAAACTGCTTACCTTAATTTTCGCAGTATATTCTCCTCTACCTCCAAACAGACCAAGGCCACCAAGTAAAATATCAGTGTCAGCACTAAAACGTATAGCTTCTACTGAATGGGCAGAGTAACCCCAGCCCCCTCCATGACCTAAAGGACACAAATAAATAATTTATGTTTTAAGATATTTATATTTCACTTATAAAACAATATTTCCTAAAGATAAATATACATACTTTCAAACCTGTTCACTACACTATAATCTTCTTTGGAATAAACCTTCATTACTGCTTGAGTCTCCTCCTCTGTACTTGCAACACCCATTTTTAAATCCTGCATAGCTGCTAAGGTATCGAGGCAACCTAAAAACAAACAAACAAAAATTCAACTCCTTGAAATTAAAATTTCCTATCATATTGATGACAGGAGATGATGTAGGGAATAAATTAAAATAGTTAACTCTGAGTGTGCTCAATAAATGTATTCCAAAATTTAAACAATGTTTCATGAGAGAACACCTATAACCAATAAGAATTCTCCACTGCTTAGGTAATTGTCATATTTAAACACATTCTATACGTCAATGTTTTGCAAAAAACTGCATCTTTAGTTTTGGATGTTTATAATGATTTACCAGCTGAAATTTGAGAAAAAAGAAGCAAGGAATTATATGTATGCTCTAGTAATTATACTTAGGAATATGACTTCACAACTGCTAGGTTTAGATAAACATAAATAAGTCTTTTTAAGGATCTTTTTAAAAAACAACAAAATAAGTAGTTATGTGGATTGGTACAAAATTTCCACCAACAGAGTATCTATATAAACTAAAAAAATGCTGTATTTCAAATTAATTAAATAGAAGTAAAGAGAAACTGTGTTATGTAAAAAAAAGAATATGTATAAAATTTATAATTATATGAATATGTATTTTATAGGATGTCATTTAATGTATATAAATTAAATATTATAATCATATATTTGAATATTCTATCTGTATCTCTAAAGTTAATATATTTAACCTAAACAAAGATATTATTTAAAAAAATATCTATTAGGAAAATTATCTTCAGAGATGCTTTATACTTGGACATACACAAACTATGTTGGTTCAAATCTGATGTATTGTTCTTTGTTGGATAAACAAACCTCTTAAAGCTAGGGGGTTTAACTTACATTGCACCTAGTATTTTGTTGTTTAACACACATGAAAAAATGACATACAAATCTAAATATTCTCAAAAAAAAAATTCTCAGCACACTGCATGAATGAAAATTAACTGGTCATCAAAGAGCAACCCTACCTAGAATGTGCAAAGCTGCATGAGATCGGGTGGTGAGAGCCCTTGATCCTGTTGGTAAGGCAAGTTCAGGACTTAGAATACTACATCTGGACTGCATGTCTGCTGCAGAGGGAAGTCTGGCATCAGCAACCACTGCATTGTAACACCACAGCTCTCTGGTATTTGGTCGAAACCTTCAAGAAAGAATAGTTATAGCACTTCAACATACGGTTTCATTAAAAAAATTTTTCTAAAGTAGAATTAATGATACAAAGGGATTACATACAGTCAGCTTAAAGAGGATAAAATGTAGCTCATTATTTTCTCTATCTGAGCTAAGTATATAAATAAAATGATTTATGTCACTATAAGTGGAATAATTTGAATGAAACAGTAACACGGGCTATGATTTTTTTTATGAGTACAGGAGCAATAGTACACTGGTGCACACATATATAAAGCTTTGTACAACAAAAAGTCTACAGATGAAGTCTAAAGACAAAGGGCAAGTTGAAAGAAAATATGTGAAACACACATGAGACAAAAGAACAGTATTCACAATGTATAAGAGCTCCTGCAAGACAAGTGGACAAAAGACTTGGAATGCTGTTTCCACAAATGAAACACAAATAAAGTGTAAGGAGGTGTTCAACCTTACTAATAAACAGTAAACTATAAGGGACCCACAATACCCGCCACCATTATCTCATTTCTCTTATCTCTTCCATAAAAAAATTCTCAAAAAGCTGCCTCCATTTCTTTGCCAATTTTTTGCTATGAATTCTTTTTGGAAAAGTTGTTTTAATCAACTACAGAGTACATACAAAAGAATAGTAACAAAATATTTTCGGTCCAAGTCCCTGCGCCGCTGTGTCGGGTACACTAGGGCCCAAGCTTGAGCTTGCAAATAAACCCTCATGCGTTTGCATCGGTATCGGCTCCTCGGTGGTCTCTTGGGT